AACTGGAATACAATTGCAAAAGCAATTTATTTTGTGACATGATTATGTGGTTAGGTCCTGCCATTGTAAAACAAAAGGTTTAATTTACATTATACCATTTCTGCAAGTGGTTAGACACATTTGAGTGGCATTTCACTTACCACGTATCTGCATACGGGCAGTCGTATGTATAATCAATGAAGGCATTCTAGAGGTGAAGGTTAAATGGATTGAAATATAATAAGTCGGGAGCACTTCTTTATAAGCAGACTCCAGTCTGTGATACATCAACCTTAATGGTTGTTCCTTAAAGTTTCTTTTTTTTTAAATAAAACGTTGCCCCACGTTAGAATTTTCTCCTGTGCCGTGGGTGCGTTTACAAACATACAAGTTCACATACACAATAACACCCAGACCCGAAACAACAATTTGTGGATTACACAGTGTTGTTCCGTGCGGGAATCGAACCCGCAACACGTTGCACGGCAGCCGGTTGCCCAGCCACAGCACCAACCGTGCAGTCGAAGTAGAAATATACTTTTAAATGGGTTGATGTACTAAAGTGTACATTCTACTGACATGCTGAGATGTTTTACCTCTAATGTCAATATCTTTGCATTCTGGTACATGTTAACAGACCTCAGTCTCAGAAGCTTACACCGCAGTGTAACCGCCGGAGCTGTAGCCGTTATATGTACAACCATGTTGTACGCTATAACCAGTTAAAATATTTCTAGTAGGAAAAGGAAACAATTAGGTAATTGAAGATTGTTGTTTGATACCGCATTGGGTTAGTTTTTTTACTACCTCGTGGCAGTCGTGGTATCATACCAAGATCCTTTCATTTATTAGTTATTACTCCTTTCTAGAACACTTCTTACCAACACATTCTGTGTGCTGCTAAGATGTCACACATTAGAAAGGATTTCAAAGTCAAAATCATTTATTTCAATTAGACCAGGATGACACTTTTGAACGTCAAACAACAAAAATTTAGAAGTGAAGCTAGTTTCTCATTTCAAGGTATAGATTCCTATGTGATTAAGTAAGAAGTTAGTTAATTGGACTAAAGAAAGTAGGTAACAATGTCTTATCGCGTCATTTGTCTCCTAGTGGGGAAAAAATATCGTAGTACTTACTTACTCAAGCATTTTTCGCATGTATTCTATAATCTATAAAATTTATTTTAGGTGTATAAAATAAAAACACAATTCCATTAAACACGACTTTAATGCACAATATACAGAAAGTTAACTGTTACAGATGTTTCAAAGTTCAGGATCTTGGACTATTATTAGATTCAAAGTAAATACATTGCATACTTATATAAAACGAGATAAGCACAATATTCGAAAACCCTTTCATATCGGATTGTTTCGAATGATCGGAATGCTCGGTTGCAGACCGCGCGGGGCGCGCGGACCGATGCAACTCACGTCCTTATGATAGCGTTGCGGTGACACGACGACGACACATACTAAGACTAGAACAACTGCCAACGTATAACTCACATCACTTCTAACAATGAACATAGCATATATTTTAACATTAACACAAGAATAATAATCATTTCTGTAATATTTTAATATAGGTAATGGCGGTTACACAAAATGATACCTTACAAATTACATGCTAAATTAGCTGACAAGACAATATTAATATTCGCATACAGAAACTGACCCTAATGGTCTAGCGCTGTTACACAAAGCATCACATTTACGAATGATTTTTATTTACTATCAAATCTAAATCTGCACAATGCTGTGAGCAAAAAGTGACATAAACATTGATTTCATCAAATCTAGTAAAATGTCGACTGACGTATGGCACAAACACTGACATTCGACATATTATATCAAAGCCTATGTTAAGCCCAGATAGTGCTTTTTTAATTCACTTACTTTGACTAGACACATAGAACAGTATAAATTAGGTTCTATTATAAATAATATTACATTATGAAATACATGAAACGTATAGTTTTACATCATACAATAAGTAGCAAATAGTAAATCACATAATTATAATTTGAATCAAGCGAAAGCTAAATAATTATATTACACGTAGTCCCTCCTCTATTCCAATGTTAAATACCTAGTTACTTGCACGGACAAACAAAGTACACGATAAACAACGACCATTACTACAAAGTATTCAAAAAGCCTACGACAACTTCGTACCTAATATTAGGTTTATGCACAAGTACTCCCACGATCTAAGTAGTAAGCTATATCTGATAAATGATAATCGATTAATTAATCAAAATAATTTAATCTCAAAGTTTCAAACACATCGTTATCGTCGACTTTATAGTACAGATCGTACAAACAAATATGTTGGTACTTCGGTACATTTTTGAGAAAACACTTGTACGATGATTGATATTCCATCGTTATTGGTAAGTACTGTCCTATTTTTAATTTATTGATTCATGTAATAGGATTAACGTTGCCGTTACTCGGCTTCTGTTTCCACTCCAGTATATTTTTCATGTTGCCGAAAAGTAGCACCAATTTCCCTGTGCTTCCCTTCCGGCGGACGTCATGTAAAATTGGATTACTTCTTAATACATGACTCTTTGGTTTTTCATAGAAATTGTAATTTTCTCGGGAAGTGGTCAATGTGTATTACAAGTCTGAACAAGAATTAAATACTCATTCACCTGTTCGATGCTTGGCTACATTTTCTGAAGCCGTTCCCATTATCGACACTGATGTACTGGAACAAAGCTAAATCAAGACACGGCTACGTTCCATTCTATATTGCACGACCCCTGCATATACAGCGGACGGCTCAATGTGGCTTCGATAGTCGCGTATATGCCACTAGAATATATGTACTTAATGACTTAATCAAAATATCCGAGGGTTGCAATTTATTTTATGCAACAACAATACTTTGTTCCCGCGTGTCCTGCATTGGTAAACAACGAATAGACACACAGTCCAGTAAAAATATTTACTTTTTTGCATTGTAACAAATATCGGTTTTAGTGTAGTTGGAATGTTTTTGGATCCCAATGGAATGTAGCGCGGAATCAAACAATATTGCATATTCTGCACCCCCAATCCCATCCCACCCCCATCCTTCACTTTTTAAATGAAGGTCTTTATATGGAATGCTGCCTCCAATTGTAAACAATGTTTTGCAATAGTTAAGCAAAATTCTTAGTGTTGAGGATCTAATGTTATTTAGTGAAATCTGATGCACAACACTAGTTACTCTAGCGACAATATTGTCGACGAATGCTCCGAGTTAATCATGCGCGGATACGTGGTTTTAGGGCACGCTTTAGGTATACTAGAATAAATTATAAGCCCAAATAATTTATATAATGTAGGTGTTGATTTATCATTAAATAAATAAATAAAAAGTTCGAAATGGAGAATGGTTCAAAACAATTCTTTTGTGCTGAAAATAAGAAATAGAAAGTAGAAAGTAGTGTACCATTATAGATCTCTTATTAAATGCGCCAACTTTAGTGTTTGCCACTACCTATTAGCATATTAGGTATAATTATTTTCAGTCCAGTCATTGAAAGTAAATTGGTTTTGAATAACAGTTTGTATTCCAAATCAAGTATATTGAATAATATTTTGCCTTACTTTTACTTTCGTCATAAAATGATTTAAAAAGTGTATGACTCAGATTTATTTTTTATCTTTTGACAATTGTAACTTTGCCTATCCTGTGATGCCGTTTGGGCGTTGACTTCAGTAACACCTTAGCAATAACTACCTCTGTGGCGACCTCAAGATATACGTATACGTCATGTCTCCATCTTAACCGTGTGCGTAGCCTAAACAATCAATTGACAACATAATTTACTCCTTTGTGTCTTTAAACCAACTACACCTAAAATATACCTACAAAGTTTCTTTTTTTTTTCCTTTTTGTCTTTATTTTTCGAATTCTACAATTGAATTATTCTATTCTAACATACATAGATAATTTACTATCGACTAAACCGAGTATGTAGAGGTATTACACGCACATACTAAGCATTATATTTTGTTTTCTTAAAACTATACACGCTAAGTATTTTTTTTGTATTTTTTTTTATTTCTTAGACCTAAACAACAGCTGAAATACACGTACATACGTACATAAAACAACTACAATAATCATAGTATTCCGTACATTAACTACGTATCTACGAATACATTACCTACTAATTCTTAAACAGAAGTCCGTGAAAGAATAACATCTTTTGTAACAAGTTGAGTACATGACCTGTTGCTGTGTATGGGTAATGATGCTTAAACAGAAACTTGTTTTCGCAATTTTCGAGTCCAATCAGTATATTCCAAAGTTACCTATTGCATAACAATTGATTGTATACACATAACACACCTACTATTTATAAAATAGGCGCTCCTATACATGCGGCTTACTTTATAAACTCTATAATAATTCGTATTTCGAGAGTACATATTAAATATAGTCCACGAGGACCGACAGACATTTAGATTTTTGTTAGGGGATCCTACAGAGCTGGTGTACGCGACAGAAAGCAGCAACAGAACACAATTAAAAAGTATCAGTAGCGGAAAGTCAAATAACACAGGAATATTTTTCGAGTAACTTCAGGCAATTAAAACAGAACTTTTTAAAACGTTGTCAATTTTGTATTCAATTTGGAGGAAGGAATTTTGAAAAGTTGTTGCAAACAGTAAGTTGCTGCATTCCTATACAAAAACAGATACTTTCACATTCATTGTAAACATTACACAGTCATGCTACTGGGATTTATATTAAAACTTATTTAAATTCTAATTTTTATGTTGTAATTCTACCGTAAGAATGATAAAAGTAGATAAATAAATTTAGTCGGGTTTTTAATTACTTTTACCATACTTGCCGAAGGTCGTTTACAACCAAAAAGGCTTACAAAGTACTACTTTTCTATGATTTTGGGCGCTTACATAACGTCATGGTACACAACACTTCAATCTTTCAAAACGGGGTCCGCTAGACGTCCCATCCATCACACTCACTTCACTCTAGTTACGTTGAGTCATTTACTGAAACCTGGGGTTTGGTCTCCCACGTTTCGAAGCAATCAAGTTACGGTAGGGGAAGAACAAGTATGGTATTCTTCTCTGCTCGGTGGCAGTCTCCTGAGACTGACCAGTAGGCACCACGTCGGGCGTCGCCGGGTCATGCTCCTGCGTAGTTTCGCCAGCAGTACCCTGGTCCTGATGGCGCAGCTGCCGACTCATCACGACGTTCCAACGGTTAATTAATGGCTCTGATCGGTGGCGACGCACGTTGCACGGCGCGTCTGAACCCATGGACACTTCCCTGCCCGCAGATATAGACGTGCTGGCTTCAGTGCAACTTACGTACGAAGCTGTTAACAAAACGATCATCTTATTTTTTTTAAATACGTTTCCCCACACTTGGATTTGTGCCGTGGGTGCGTTTACAAACATACAAGTTCACATACACAAACACATGACACCCAGACCCGAAACAACAATTAGTGGATCACAGAAAGCGTTGTTCCGTGCGGGAATCGAACCCGCGACACGTTGCGCTGCAGGCGGTTGTCCAGCCACCGCACCAGCCGTGCCGTCAAATACAACAACAAAATACAAGTAGTTTTTATATTTTACATTTTTATAAAAGTCAATTACTGTAACTATATCATTGAAATCATACAAAATATTAATCTCGCTGTGCACTCAGTTTGTGAAAAAAGACACAAGGCAAACAAACTCGCAACAAGCTGTAGCTACTAGCCGCGGGCTACGCGCGCGTACTACTAATATACAAAGGGATTAGGAATCCAATATGGCGTGCAATAAAACATGTCATACCAAAATAAACTATAACAGAGTGGAGTCGTAAAAGCCTGACTGTTTATTAATTTTGTTTACTGTGATCTGAGTTTAACTTACTCGCAGCAGCGGCATCGAGTCGGGATGTTTTTAAAAAAATCTTTTAGGCTATTGATAAGTTCGTGTTCCTAAATTAATTGTAATCAACTGCGGTTTCTGACCAAAAACAATAATAATGACATTTCACTTCTTTCACACGTGTGTTTAGATTGTAATATAGAATGGTGTTCCGTTGCGCTTATATTACATTACATATGAATGATGTAGTGAGCCGCTCTCCATCACTAATTGCTTCTCTTGTCCGTATTCATTGAAATCAGGGGATATTCATACCATGTCACGAACGTGTTCATTGTTGACATCAAGCGGTGTGGACGACACCCACCCACGCCGACGTGTCCAATAAATAATTTTATACTTCATTATGTAAATGTTACAACCTAAAACATCTAAAGTATAGTACTTCGCCGTCGCATTGAGTTTGTAATTTGGTATGTAACTACATGCAATACAATGTCTACTTGATTATCTTAATGTAATATAACAATTTATGATTATGTGTATAAAACTATATTTTAATTAACTGAGAAATATCGGACTATGCGCTTGCTACGCGGTGCTACGGCGATAAAACTTGCTACGCGCCATTGCTGCTACGAAGTTATTACGCGCGACTACAACACTTGCTACGCACTGCTAATGCTATTGTACTTCATGCATTTATTATCATTATAGAGCCCCTGGTGATGTACCTAGCGATTTCTTTTTATAGAATTCTGTTGCAATGTCTAATTTATTTATAACTTTTTTACATTTTAACGATAATATTGCCGGTTAGTGCCAAAGGCCCAATTACTACCATCCCCAATCCTGACTCTCCAATAATTCTCAAATCCCTAATCCCGAAAAGGCCGGTAGCGCACTTGTAATGCCTCCAGTATTCCGAATGTCCATGGGCGACGCCGATTGCTTATAGATGAATTGCCGATAGGTGATCCGTCTGCTCGTTTAACGGCTTATGCTATAAAAAAACACTAGATAATATTAACTATCCAAAAAAAAAAACATGAAGACATTTTTATTAGTTTCTCCCCGTCTTATTATGTGCAAAATACTTTTTAATTATTTACTAACGGACCTGGCAAACTTCGAACCGCCTAAATTGTTCATCTAACCTTTTAAACCTTCCCTGGACTTCCACGAACATTTCAATACTAAAATTAGCCGTTTAATTATATTTATATAGATTTATTTAATTATACCTGAATGTAAAAGAAGTCTAATCGAGTCTGACATCAGAACAATATTTTCTAATTTCACACAAAGAGTGATTCCGTGCAAGAAACGAACCGATCGTTGGCTAGTCACTGTATGTATAGGGAAACATCAAAGTAAACAGTATAATCCAAACTAAGCCCGAATATGTAAAGATTACAACTTGAAACGTGATGTGTTGCAGTGGGTTTACCTTGCAGGAACAAGTTTACTGACTCGTGGAGAGTAGTTAATGCAGTAGGCACAACTGTTGAGCTCTAAGCTGTGAAACATTCACGTAAGCCGTACCTAAGTCAGGAGCTTACTGCAGCCACTGCTCGGCCTCCATCAATTAATTCGGTACTAAGTTTTAGTTGTCGAAAAGCTCGCTCGGAAGTCATGGAAAATTCCTGGCTGGAAATATATGGCAGGTTTATCCCAAAATATACAAGTACCCTCTAAAACTGTATTTCTTATACACAAGACAAATGTGTAATCATCTAAATCAGTTACCCAATGACAACTGTCGCAATCCATAACATAACATCACGCATTTTATCCCCGAAAGGGTAGACAGAGGTGCACTTTACGGCACTTAACGCCACTGTACAATGTAACATACATTTTCACTATGTATGTCATGAGTCCTATGTAATAGGGACTATGTACCGGGCACATCCAGACACCGTGCTACTATTAAGAATTATTTCAAAAAAACCAATAATACTTTGCCAGACCCGGGAGGCCGGGAATGGACCCCGAGACACCTTGTCCGGCAGTAGCACTTGCGACCACTCGGCCAACGAGGCAGTCAGACTCAATCCAATAACTTTAAATGCAATCTAAACATATTTTATAGTATACATATAACAAAAGCGTGTGCGCGCGATGCGTTAACCTGTTGCCAAAGATGCAGAGTGATAGATATATTGTACCATTGCCCGTCGCTCGGCTCAGCAAAGCTAGACATTCATATTCACTAACAAAATTATTCCATTCATTGACTTATAATATACTGACAATTAAAATGAAAAGTAAATTAAAGAAGGCTATTAAAATTAGACTATTACACCCCACAAATTCATCCGCCAGTATACAGGACATCTTACATTATATACAATGTACATTTATAAAAGAACAACAGCATCTAATAAATATATTAAAAGCAAGCTATAACCAAAGCTGACGCCGCTGCTGATACTTATGAACTTAAATTATTATCATAATGTAAAATCAGTAATGGCAATATCCAAATAGTAATATCCCAGTAATGGCATACTTTATATTTTGATTGTGATTGCTGACAATATATATATAACATAACCAATAAGGGCTGGCAACCCTATCGCGTGTCGCTTTTATTGTACAAATATAGACACAGAACAGCGGAGTTTTTGGCGCGTAAAGTTTCACAGCTTAATGAAACTTTTCATTCAACCGGTCGTGGGTAAATACTTTGGAACAACGGTGCAAGGCAAATATCGCCTGGTAGCTACGGAAGCGCCTACGGGGTGGATTTTGATGCATTTCGAAAGTACTTACCTGTGTGGCCGCCGCAACTGTTCCGCCGCATGCGTGGCCGCATGTGCACGGCGCACAGCTCGTAACCTTTATACAGTGAATTCAATACATTGCTCTGTGCTCTTTGTTCATATTTACATAATAAACTGAATACAAGCGTGCTCCATTGTTGCAGCTCTTTGTGTAGTAGGCTACCATTGAAATATACATATTTACATGGTAATATTATTTTCAATATTTATTTATTTATTGTGTGTGGAACTTTGTAAAACCCGTACTGCGGAGTCTAAATAAATAGTGGGAAGCCCACGATGCTTAATTTGGATTTACTCAAGGGTGGTTGGGACCTACTGGATTTAGAAGATATGTTGATAGAAAGAAAAACTGGTTTAGTGACAATTGCTTCCACCGGTGGTGGAAGGGGGAATTCACGCTCGACCACTAGAACTTGTTCTAGTCTTAATCTGCCAGTTTGCATGGTGGGGTTGAATGTTCTGGATAGTACAAACGAGAACCCTTCGAAATCCCCTCACTCTTGCAAATCAAGCTCGAATGGGAAGATTTTTTAAACGCACTTCCCTTAGCATGCTATTGACTCTCTTCCCTTAATCTGACGAAACTGACTTTATTTAGTCGGATATTGTTTATTTTTTAGTCCCCCTTCTAATCAATTCGTATATAAGGTGGGTATATTCAACATGACACTAGGTTTCCCCATCCCCATCTGACGCACTCGAGTAACTACCGAAATCCCTTAATGGGCAATCACTGGACAAAACTAAAAGGGTCATAACTTTCAACTGTTAAAGATGTGTGTTATGTGTGTTTGTGTGTGTGCGTGTTTGTGTGCATCGCCTACACGAAACAAAAAAGCGTGTGATTAGTAAGAAACTAACCTGTGACACTGCCGGTGCGAGCAGCGTTACGGCAAGTGAGGCGCAGCTCGTCGCGGCGGACGCGCGTTCGAAGACATGGGATAGATTGGCATAGCTCGCGGCGAAAGTTTTGTCCAGTCAGACAATACAGGATAAAATTTATACCGAAGTTTGTATTGAAAAACAGTAAGGATAATTGCTGTAGCGCTGCCCATCTGCCACTGTATTCATCGGAGCTCTGCGACAAAGAAACAACTGTCAGTGACAATGAATGAAATGATTTATTTCACATGGGTTAATCGGAATTAAATATTGAGCAAATAATAACTTCATTGAAATACGTTTATGAATACGTAATGTTATATTTTATTGATTTCACCCATGAAATATTACTGTGATAATATCAAGTCAGAAAAGGAATTTGGTTGCTTTTTTGCGTTGAATATTCTCTGAAACTTTTTTTTCTGTTTAATGTATAGCTCTTTATTTTTAAGGACAGCAGTTCCACTCCCACTATTCAGACGACTATAGTCTATACAATGTTCATTATTAGTAACAGACTCATTATTTCAGATTTACTGACTTCCACAAAACAATTTGATGTATTCACAAACTGTGTGTATATATTGGTGGATGCAAGTGTGTGGGTATCACATTATGCATTTAATTACGTAGTCGTCTGTATGCGCGGGTGGTTAGTGGTCAGCCATCAACCTTGTTGAAAGGGATTTCATGTGAAATTAGCTTTTAATCACCGGCTTTTTGCTGGATATGGATACGAGTCATGTTAATACGAAATTGAATACATGAATGCAGTGACAGAACCACTTGCTTTTATGAAACGTATCGTCATTTGATTCGCGAAGAAATCCACAGGTTGTTCTAGTTGTATTTTGCTCCTATATCTTGATTAGAACAAAATTGTGACGGAGCCAGTGTTATACCACCTCCATTTAGGGGTGGAAAGAATAATGTTGAAGTAATAGTTAACTCAAACTATGTGATATAAGAAAGCTCAAATAATTATTATGATTTTCGGCTTACTCGCGTAATTTGACTAATTTCAATAGGTCACGGAATGCTACTCATGAATATGAGCCCCTGCCATGGCTTGAAACTAGTCGAGCTCCTCGTCAAATAATTACGCGAGTGAGCCATAAAACATAATAATTAATTTAGTATGTCCCACTAAAGATATTGTATAAGTAAGGAAGCTCATTTCTTTTTTACTTTTGAGGATGTTGGTCTGACTCATTGTACTTAAATAATGACAAGATACTTTTGTGGAACACACAAAGTGTAGCTCCGAGCGGGAATCGAACCCGCTACATTCTGCGCCATCGCCAACCGTATTGACCGAATTTGTACGCAGAAATACTCGAATTAAACGTAAATTTTGAAATGATACGAGAATGTGCCTTGGTTACAAAACAACCACAAATTCCAATTAAAGAGATCGCTACATGAAATGAATACTCGGTGTTTTCTTTTGCATTACAATTTTTTAAAAAGTACACGGTTATATTTAGTCACCCGCATCTGTTTGTTAGGGTCAAAAGCAATTAGAATTTTATCCCCTTCCTGACGATAGATCGATCTGATGTTCGGTACATACAGATAATATTGAGGAATGCAACATGCCACACAACATTATCTATTTTCTCCGATTGCTTGATTAATAAAATAGACCCCATTAAATCCTTTAACATGAACAAACATTTTTTTACATATTACTTGTATATGATAGTGACTTAGAAGATGTAAGAGTAGACTTAAAAAAGCATGTATACGGTTAAATTGAGCGCCTTCTCCTTTTTTTGAAGTCGGTTAAAAATTGTGATGATAAAGTACATGAAGTATTAAAAGCCACAGACCAAAGTTGTCGCTTATGAAGCTGGTACATGGATATCCATGCGAATATCAGTGATATTATATTATATTAAGTGTGAGTGGTGAGTGTGTGAGATTGGCTAGTTAAGAGATTAAAAGGTAAGAGGAATTTGGAAATTACTATTATCAATAATACTGCATTTAGGCTGAGCAATTACGTATGGAAAACATCATTTGCCATGTGAGCTCTTTTATCGCGTTTATTATGACATTGAAGTACACTGTACTACTGACTGAAATATATTTACGTGTACATTGTGCATAGCGCCGCGCGTAAAACTACAACATTTGAACGTATCGTTCGTTGTTCGTCGTATTAGTGTTGTAATGAATGTCATGTTATAGACAGCGGGGAATATGAACATCTGCCGACGATATTCGCGAATGCAAATGCGAATATTGACTTAGTATACATAGTGTACTTATTCCAAATTCAATAATTGTTTTCGATGGAACTATCACCAAATACTTAATAAAAATCGTGTCCAGTTTATTTACACTGGTTTTCTTAAACAAAACCACATCGTGGTGTGATAATCTTGGCAAATCTTATAGGTTTGGGGAGTTTTCTTGTAATTGTCGTGAATGTTATTATTATCCGCATTCTTCATTGCTCTCATCAGTCTAGGAACATAGAACAAAGAAACGCTTATTCAAGCGCCCATATAAAATTGTAATAAGTATATACTACAGGCTCCTGGCCCGTCCCAAAGAAATAGCGTACTTGTGACGTTCTACGTTCATTTCTCTTACGTATGGTCTATTTTATTGTCTATTAATAATTTTAATCGAGTCTGGATTTTTTGGCCATTCTCTTTTTGGAGAAGACCATGAGTTCACCTTTAGGAATAAACTGTCAAAAGTCTCCTCAAATCCCATGTAAGCGTTTTTGAATTTTTCACAAAAATATAAATCTATGAAAAAAAATATTCAGATGTTATATAAAACTTAAAATCCAATAAACAGTAATTTCTTAAAACTGCGTCACAATTGCAACTGAGGGTACTATATTTACTCAGTCAGAATAGTTCATAGTACTCTATGGTTTCTTCGATAAGCTTACTTAATCAAGTAAATAAGCACCTCCTACACCACTATGAAAATGTGCGTATGTAATATGGCAATACCTAGAACAAATATAAAGATCAACTTTATAAACAGTTTCAACTTTGCTTTATTATACTGACCAATTTTGAGTTGGATCCTAGAAACTTGTTATTTTGAGCTTAGATTATAAGTTTTGAAGAACACAAGGGATCTATGGGGACTTTTGACACTTTATTCCTAATGGTGAGCCAAACGTCTCCACAAAACCAAGGTCTACCAAAATTAGGCTCCTCCGTAATTTTCAGTATTTCAACTATCTACGTCCACTGGACCCTTCCGACTTCTGAGTATAGTAAGTTAGTTTGATAATAACAGTTTATTTTAAATTCTAATGTGAAGACTGATAAAATAACGAGGAATATGGTTTACTACGATGTTGTGCGGGTATTGAATATCTTTAATTTTCATGTTTTTCTTAGTTTGGTTGATTGATTATTCACTACCTATACTAAATGGTCACCAAAAATTTAAGTACAAATTATGATAATACCTAGGACAGTTTAATCGAAAAATAAGGTCTTGTAACAAATATATAAGAAATTCATACCTATTCCTCGATTGAATTTACCTTTTTGATATGGATTCGAAGCGTTCATATTTGCATTAAAAATTGTGAATACGAATACCAAAATATGTGCGATTATTCGCATTCGTTACATCGTAAAATATATCTATTTATATCAGTATTTCGTATTTTTATCGTGGTGGAGTTGTAGAAACATCGCGCAGCTTATACTAGTCATTATTACAATCAATATTTATTATTGTTGTAGTCTTAAAAGAAACAGCGATATTGATATTATTGGTTCTCCTGTTTAATATCACGAAAACATTACATATTATTAACATTCGGTGTCGGCGAATGAAGGCACAGGGTCGCGGGCGAAACGCTAGTCACAATTAAGAGCAGTCGCATCGTGTTTAACGAGAACCATAATAATACCATTACGGTAACTAAAGCTATCGCACATACATATTTATTCAAACAAATCATAAACTATATCATAAAATGTAAAGAATTTAAGAAACAAATACTCACCAAGTCGTAGGCGTATGCTAACAGACGCATAGTATACGCTGGTAAATTTAGCGCTACAAACACTGTTGAAACGATCAACAGCATTCGTGTGACGCGGTGTTGCGAGCGCAGCGGCGGCAGCGCGCGCGCCGTCATTGCCGCGCGGTCACACCCATATTCGGTCCAGGCAGCCCTCTCAACATTCAGCTCGCGCCTTTCGTGTGCTCGTTGGTATACACCAACGACTATCCATATATTAAAAATTATAATTATCCCGAGAGGGAACGAAAATGACACTATAGTATCGGCCAAATTAAACCTCGCAGCGTGCTCTATGTAATCATCATCTATGTTGCAGTCATTTATCGAAGGTGAAGCAAATTTTATTAACGGAATGTTGGCGATTAAAGATCCCACCAACAGTAATAGGATGACGACTTTGGCCCTTGTCACAGTACACATACTGTTCCGTCGCAAAGGGTACAACACAGCCACGAACCGTTCTATGGTAAACGCTACCACTAGCCATGCACTTAAACAACACGCCGTGTAACTACTGTAAACAAACACTTGGCAGAATCCACTTTTGTGGAAAATGGTAGTGATTTGAATTGCGTCGAGCCATGGCGGTAGCAGAAGTTGCAGAAACAACGTGTCTGAGAGCGCTAGTGCGGACAGGTATAGACTTGTCGACTGTAGTCTTAACTTTGAAGTGAAGAAAACATAAACCGAAATAATATTACCTACAGAGCCTAACAATACTAAGAGGGGGGTGTAGTACACGTATAGTATACTAGCAACCGTCTCAATATTTTCATAATAGACGTTCTGATTGTTAGCGCGCGTAGATGGCGCAGTTACGTTATTTGCTGCCATATTTGTCATAGAACCGTGCGATGTCACTGAGAGTTTCGCGAGAACTGCTAGCTAGTTTGTGGTTGTGCTGCGCACGTCTCGCATATCACTGCCCGGCTCCCTGTGGACCTAACCCCCAGCCCCGGACCTCATCGCGCTGTAGCTACTAATGCACGAATCAGTCACCTCTCGATCGTACTGGTGAGCCTTCCGTAAGCTCCGCCTTTAACCGCCCTAACTTGTCACACCCACTTTGATCAACAAGTTATGAAATCTCAATAATTTATGAAAGCTCAACAGATTCGCTCGCCTTTGCATAGACATATCATTGTTAGTTTATAATAATTATCTAGATACGAAACTTAGAAATATTATAGGCAAAATGTTCCTAATATGTTTGTTTTTGATATTGCCCGACTAGTTTCATACTGCAACGAGACCCTTTATCGTGTACTGTGCATGTGGTAACTAACGCCCGATCCCGTTCTTCACAATCCTTGGCTTGCCCATTGAAGTGGCCTGCACACAAAAACAAATTTAATTAGGTGCGACATAATTACAATGCATAAGATAATGTATTATACTTATTATACAGAGTAATATTATATGTAAAAAGAGCATAATCTTTCGATAATAATAGAGAGAATTAAGTGTTATTGAAATATTGTCTGTGATTACCTACCCTCTCACAATATCACATTAGTCCAGCGAACCTGTTTTTTCTGGAAAACGACGCGATCCTCTGAATTCAGAAGATAGCTCATAAAATATAATTATAATCTGCGAACGACTTTAAATGTCAATCTACGAACAATTATTGCATTGAAACATTAAAACTAAGAGATTTTTGCCGCAAAAACGAAGAAGAAACGCTCATTTATTTTTTGTTTTGGTTTATTATTTCACATTGGTAGTTTATTTGTCATATAACCATTACATATTTATAGTTGGCTACTTGCCAACTAATCAAATTCAATACTTTTCTCGAACTATCAAAAACCAGTTTTCTATGAATTTTGTAATGATTATGTATTATGACGTCACGTTTTTTTTTGCGACAGCATACTTATATCTTAAAAAATATCTCAAAAAATACTAAAATTAAGTTAGTAAAAAATAAATTAATGAAAGTGTGAATTTTTTTAATATTTTATTGTATTAAACCTTTATTCGGACGGTGCAAGGACAGAGCGAGACCTACTAGGCCTTTACATTGGCATGTATAACACTAACAACTATGTTAATGTAATAAATGAAAAGAAATAACAACACTACACCTGCTTGTGTCGTAGGAAACCGATTAAAAGTATAACATTTGATCTCGTTCTTCTGAATAGTATTCATATATATATTATAACATGTCGTTAATGGTTATGTCACATTGACAGTGTGACAAGTAGTCCCATACCTTCTCTTAGAACCGCGCTTAAGAATACACTATAACTGTTGCCATGACACTAGGTTTACCTTTACCGTTGTATAAGAGGTGCGTGCACAGTAGTCCACATAAGTAGAAGATATCTGTAATCTAGATTATGCCTTTACAACAAATCACTCTGTATAATATATAATACTCATTATTGTAAATGATTTGTTTACCAATGCTGTATTATTTGTTACAGCGTCGGACAAGGGTCGCGGCACGCTGGACGCGCTGCTCTGCACCACCTACTGCCGCTCCCAGCTCTACCTGTCCCGACAACTCTCGCAGCTGCACCCGGAGCTCACCATGCCAATGTTCTCAGGTACTGCGAACAAACAAATCTATTAAGTAACTATAACCATTTCATGATAAAATCTAGATGTAAAGACTAAATAACATAAATTGTATTTTGATCCAAACATTTTCACCCTACCAATCCAATCCTAACCAATACTGACTAAAAATACATAATGCAGAATCGTGTAGACAACTATATTTAATTTACGATATCTAAAACCATATGTACGTACTTAAATTAGTCACGTATAAACATTATCATATGCATGAGTAATCAAATGAGCTCGTTACAGTTTAGTGGAAAACACAATATGTGTTACCCACGAAAAAGTAGACCCTGTGCCAGACTGCTGACTCTCATCTGTGTTTTTGTTTACGTTATCTTAAATAGTGCTTCAGTGTTATGAAATCACGAATTTTGAGCCAAGTGCTTTATTTTGGAAAAGAATGTTTGGAAATGAATGAAATGTTTTGAGGAACCAAGTAGTCTCAATATATCATTTACCTTACTTTAAGTGACCGTACTGAAATTAATTGTGCTGCGCTAGTAGTATCAAATTTTACCAAAGTTGGCACATTTAATAAGGATTCTGAAATGGTATACCACTCCCTAATTAATTCTTAAATAAAACTCAGTTTAAACAAAAGCACACCTACAAACGTTGTATCTATATATTCCATAAAACTTAAGCAGCATGCAGGATATCGTAAGCAAAGATACAGATGAAAAAAATAAAGAATTTTAGCAACAAGAGTTATAAGACAGGCCACAGGATGTACTTTTTCATGGATTACACATTAATTGTAATTTAAGAACTTGACTTATATTTTTCTGATAACTGTTGGAACCTTACCGATCACCTGGTACCATTTATCGTCGACTTCAGGGACACTTGTATATAACATGCATGTTGTCGTCAGTTACGTTACATGATTTAAAGACTCGGGAGAATGGATTAGAATAGAAAACTTAAGCCCGTAAAATCGGTCTCTAAACTCCTCGTCCGTATCCCAATTGCCCCCCACACTTGAGTCGTGCTTCGGGACGCATGGGTCGGTGCGACCATCCTCGGTACCACGGCCTCACAGAAAACCAGTGATGAACTACGCTGGCGTTGTATTTCGCTTCACTCACAAGTGAGATTAATAGAGGCCCAATCCTACCCTAACTCTCTGATGTTGCGGGTGTCCATGAGCGACGACAGTTGCTTATCATTAGGTGGTTCATGTGCTCCATTTGCCACTTTTATCTCATAAAAATAGAAAGTATGCGCGTTGGCCTCTCTAAACCAATAAAATAGTAGTTCATACAGGTGTTAAGAAATAATGATTTTAAAAGACTTGTTGTGTCAGATACTATTCGCCTGCACATCGTATCGATAATATCAAACAATATACTCACAGGCTAAATATACAAACAGAGAAGATATAAATGTGGTAGGACAGTTGGTAAAGTTATGTGTATCGTGCAGAGATCACGGCGCGGTTCCAGACGGCACGCACGGAGGTGCGGCAGCTACTGCTGCAGTATTTGTTGCCGTGGCTGGTCAACATCGAGCTGGTCGACCCCAACGTGCCGCCTGCCAACCCGCTCTCCTACATACAGGTAAACCTACGTTCATATTAGTTTCACAAATGTTAATTTAGTTTGACTACACGGTTGGCGCGGTGGCTGGGTAACTGGCTGCCGCGCAACGTGCCGTGGGTTCGATTCCCACACGGAACAACTCTTTGTGTGATCCACAGATTGTTGTTCCAGGTCTGGGTGTCATGTGTATGTGAAATTGTATGTTTGTAAACGCACCCACGACAAAGGATAAATCCTAGTGTGAGGCAATGTACTTTTAAATAAATAAATAAAATACTGTTTCAAATATTAACATTCCCTGTATTAAATTATGATATGGTTTCTTTGAGGTATTTAACAATAACAACAAGGAATTTAACAATATTTTGCCAATAAAAAATAAAGATATTCGTACCAAATTTGTATTCAGTCAATCAAAATCAATAGTTAATTATCAATATTTTTCGTTATCCTGTGAAACCTGACTAGCTTCCTAATCTTGAAATATAGTTAAGTTATCCCACTATTTAAAAGTGGTGACACTAAAGAACCTAACAACTATAGGCCAGTGTCTGTTTTGTCGGTTCTTAGCAAAGTGTTTGAAAAGTTGATGTTGTCTCGGAGGCTCCAATATTTTAATAAACATTCTATCTTCCACCAACAACAATACGGTTTCACTAAAGGCACAACTGACGCCGGTGTCACTTTAATGAAGCAAATATTTGGTGCTTGGGAGGAAGCATAGGATGCTATTGGTGTCTTTTGTAGCCGCTCAAAAGCATTTGATTGCTATGACCACGAGACACTTGCTGAAATTAGATCACTACGGATTTAGCAACTCTGCGCTCCGTCTTATGAAATCCTATTTAGTAGAAAGGCAGTTAAAGGTTTATGTTAACGGTAATAACTCACAGGGCTCTGGAATGAATAAATATAGGCGTTCCTCAAGGTTCAATTTTGGGTCCCTTTCTCTCTTTAGTCTGTATAAAAGATTTGCTATTTATATTCAAGAATGAACCAAGAATTGTGCTTTTTGCCGACGATACACCATTAATTTTTAAAAAAGATCGACACACGCTTTACATGGTATTAGGACATACGTTTACCGGTATAAGGTCCACAACATAGAATCGTTTCATTAAATGATAATAGGGAAGATTCAAATATGATATTTATGAAAATTTTATGATTAAAATGGTAAACAAATATAAAAGAAGTACTTCTTGTTGTACAAGGGCTACTTCAACGTTTTTATAATATATTATGTTGATTTTTAATAATAATTACGAATTAAAGTTACGTAAAACGAAACGCATTTCAAAAACACCATCAGCGTTTAGTAACGTCACTTTTACACGTCAACTTTTTTTAGGTATACTTTGCGTGTAAAATTATTTACTTTTCTAATAAAAATCGAAGTTGAGTTTATCAAAGCAATCTCCAGGAATGTACCAAGAGTTAGTGTCGACATGGTAGTATTTTTTTGTCGAGAGTCTTAAGTTTTCTAGAGTAGAAATGAAAGGGACTAATTTACTACGGTATGCATGAATTTTATTTTATTCATGGACTACCTTCTGCCCACGGCTGCGCTTGCGCTCTTTTAAGGGGTTGGAGGCAAGTTTACAAAAAAAAATATGCACGATTATTAAATAGTCCGCATATAAATGTTTTGCTTTCTACCTTGTAAAATACCAAATGGTCCATACAAACTTCCACCCCCATATTCCCAAAATAGGGGGTTAA